GCCGACTCGGCTTATTGCTCCTCCAGCTCTTCCTCTTCCTCCCTCAGCGTCTTCGCCAAGCAGGACGGCCGGCGGAGCGGGAATAACGGGAATAATAATGGCCCCCCCCCGCCGGCCACCCCCGAATGTGGGGGGGATGTGGGGCGCCGGCCGGTCCTCTCCAGCTCCTCCGACGAAAGCTGCTGCTTCCCGGCTTCCTGGGAAAACCGGGAGCCCCGGGGGGGCCCCGAATCCGACACCGACTGGGCGCCGGGGGAGGACGAGCTGGGGGAGGCGACGGAGCCCCCCCTTGCCGTGGGGGTCCCCAAAGCCGTGCCTTCCCTCCCCGCGCTGTCCCCCCGCCTCCGGGCCAAACCCCGGCTGGACACCCAGCCCCACAAGAAGCCCTCCAGGATCCCCACCCCACGGGGCTGTGGGGCGGCCACCCCCCGCCCCAAAGCTGGGGAGCACAAGCCCTGGGGGGCTCTGCAGAGCGTCTTCCCCTCCTTCCTGGAGCCCAGCAGGATCCCGCGGGAGCACGACGGGCTGGATGAGGACGCGTGGCCATGAGGCGCCCAGTTTGGTGGCCATGGGTGGCAGCAGGAGGGGGAGAAGCCCCCCCAGCACCCTACCCCACCACCCCCGCGGACATCATGGAGCTGCTGCTGGTGATGGTACCTGCATGGAGAAGCCCTGAGCAGGTGATGGCCGTGGACGCGGGGTGGCCAGGGAGCTGGGACTCCTTCGCTCGGTGACTGTTGGCCACTGGGGTTGGGACCTGCCCCCCAGCTGGGCCAAAGGGACCTGGACCCGTCCCAGTCCCATGGGGAGCAGCTCTATGGGGGGTGGCCGTGGGATGACCATGGTGGTGGCCCTGGGAACAGGGGCTGGAGAGCAAGTGGCTCAGCTCTTCTCATCTGTCTCGTCTTCTTTCCTCCTTCCTCTCATCATCCTCTTTTCTTGGCCTTCTCCTTCTCTTGTCATCTTCTCCTCTTCGTGGCCTTCTCTTTGTCCTCCTCCTTTTGTCTTCTGTGTCCTCTTGGACTTCTTCTCTTGTTGCCTTCCCCTCTTGGCCTTCTCCTTCTTCTTTATCTTTCCACATCCGAGATGACTTGGGGACACACAGCTTGTTGTCACTATCTGCATTTTTTTGGGGGGGGCGCTTGTTCCTGTCCAGCACCCAACAGACCCCCAACAGGCCACAGCCGTGTTCGTAGCATGTTGATGTCCATAAGGTGGGGACAGGGCTGTGTGTGGGCACCCCCCTGGCCCAGGCCACCACAGTCCCCACCCCTCCAGCCCCACATGTCCCCCCCCAAGCCAGTAAAGACCAAGGGAGCTGAATCTACTGCGTCCAGTTGTCCATCTTGGGGTGCAAGACCCTCTGGGGGGGGTTGGGACCTACCAAGGGGGAGCTGGTGGCAAGGAGGAGGGACATGAGACCCCCCACCTCAAGCCCAAGGGAGGATGATTGGAGGGGGACAGGGAGGGTTGAAGAACTGGGGTGAGGATCAGTCCCTTGGCTGCATCTGGGACCCCTCCATGTCCCCGAAGCCCTTGGGGCTGCCTGCAGCCAGAAGTGCCCCATGGCCAAGAGCTGCTCACCATGGGGACATGGCCATGGGTTGCTGCTGCCCCAGGGCTGGGCAGGTTGTGGGTCACCATGGGGTCTAGACCTGCTGGTGGCCACCATTCCCCCGTGTCTCTAGGCTTCCCAAAGCGGGGTGGCCACTATGGTCCCCAGTTGCCTCCCCTGGGAGTGGGGCTGGTGTCCCATGGGGGGTCCTGGGGCAGTGCTGGAGCCCAGGATGTCCCCAAAGCAGCACTGGGGCCAGGGTTGTCACCCCACTGGGACCAGCTGCACCTCCTGGGGACCCTGCACTTGTCCCCAACCCCAGGAGGGGGCTCAGGGGCCCTCCATCCCCCTGGCAATGGGCACCATGCACCAGTCTGGGGCTACCATAGGTCTTGGTGGAGCCAGGAGAGGTTCTGGCACCAGGCAGGAGGAGAACCCAGGACTGAGAGCTGTGGCTTGACCTCCCTGGGGACCATCCTGCCCCCAGGGGCCACCCAGCCCCATGGCCCCTGGCCACACGCCCAGAACCAGGCAATTTGCTGCCTCAGGACTTGCTGAGCCAGAGGCCACGGCCACCAACCCTGGGAAAGGGCTTATCTCCTCCCCGGGAGGGCAGGGCACTGCTCCGAGGAAGCTCACGGCATCCTGCTTCCCTTGGGATCCCAGGGACACGCTCCTGTCACCAAAGGGGGGGGGTTCTGTCCCCAGGAGGGGCTCCGAGGGCAGATGTCACCTTTATTCAACCTTGGCTTAAAACAAAGTGAACATACAATATATTTATATTTTATATATTAGGTATTTCCTGCACTGAACGCTTCTAGTTCGGGGGGACCCATGGCTTTATTTGGGGGGGTGGGAGGGGAGGGGAAGGAGTAGTGTCACCGCAGGGGAAGGCAGCACGTCCCCTCCGGCACCCGTGGGTGACAGCGGGGAGGGGAGGGAGCCGTGGGGCTGGGCAGTGGGGCAGGAATGGATGCTCAGAGCCCTCCCAGCTCCACCCCGGGGGCTGGAAAAGCCCTTTTTTTTTAACTGCACCTCAAAGTTGAGATGTTGGAGCCCCTTCTGGTCCCTTTCCAACCAAAGGGCAGGGGAGGGGGGCACCCACAGCTCCCCCCAACGAGGGGGACAAAACCAGGGAAGAAGCCGAATCCATTTCTCACTTGCTCCCAGGGGTGCACAGAGCCCTGAGCCCCGGGGTGGGGGGGTCCCCCCAGCACTTGGGGCCCCAAAAAGGCTCCAGAGTGAGCCCCAGGGTGCTATTCCTGACCCAAGGAATGCCCAACTCTTCCCCAAACACCACCATGGGCAGACACGAGACCCCAGTGGGAATGGGATGATTTTTGCAGGGGGGAAAGGAGGAGAACAGCCCCCCCTCTCCCCCAATAAGAAAAAGCAGCCAGAGGGTGACCCAGGGCTCTTGACGGGGCAACATGAGGGAGGAGGACACCGCATCACTCACACAGGGGTTTCTAGGGGGACTGGCCAGGACACCCCTGTCCCCCTCCCCTCGCCCCAGCCCCGGTGGGAGCACCAGCTCCATTTTTTGGGGGGGCTGGAGGGAGATTCCCAGGGGCCGGTTCCTCGGGAGGAAGGAGAGGAGACATGCACAGATCCTGCCCCGCTTCCTCGGGCAGGAAAGAGAGGAGAGGAAGAGGAGGAGGAGGAGGAGGAGGAGGAGGGGCTGCAGCAGCACCTTAGTTCTTCAGGATGGTTTCGTAGGCTTGGTAGACGTACTGGGACACCTCGGGCGCTCGGCATTTCAGGGACAACTGTGGGGACAGAGGAGGAGAGGGGGTGATGGCACCTCACCCCACAGGGGTGAGCCACCAGCCCCCAAAGCACCAAGCCCCACATGCTGCAGCATCCCCCCCAACTCCTTCCCAGGTCCTTATTTCATATTAGGGGGGGGCTCAGGACCTTCTAAACCCCCTCCCCGGTGCTCCCCCCGCCCGGTTGAGGAGCAGAGACAGCCACATGCAGCACAGGCAGCAGAGCGGGGCAGGCAGAGGCACACACACGCTGCATCTCTTGGGGTTTGATTCGCTGCCTGGAGCTCGAGGGTGAACAGTTCCCCCCAAGGCACCTTCCTCTCCCAGCCCCCCTGGGGTTATTTGCTCAAAGATTAAAATATTCAACGACTCTCAGCTCAATTAACTCCTCGGCCCAGGGGGGAATGAGCAGGGAATCCTCCAGGATAAGGATTTGCAGCTCTGCTCAGCCCAAGCGAAGCCAGGAGGGTGGTGGGAACACCCTGACCCTCTGAAACCTTCACCTCCAAGAAAGCTCCGCTCCCGGCACCAGCTCCACCGGGAGGGAGAGGCACCGAGAGGGGAGATGGGGGGCTGGGGGGTAAAACAGTCAGGGAGATAACCAGGCAGCAGCCAGAGACAGCCCAAAGGCGGGGGTAAAAACCAGTCTGCTAACCTCCAAATCCTGCAACAGCGGGCAGGCCGGCGAGGGCAGGCAGCAGCAGGTGGGGAGACAGACAGAGAGGTGAGACAAGGCCACACAGCTCATCCCAACCCAAAGAAAACAGGCGGCCAGGAAAGAGGGGAAGGGGCCGGGGGGGAAAAGCGGGATAGGGGGATGGCCGGTGGTCGATACGGGGACAGAGCTCTGCCCTGAGGCTGCTGGCAGCACCACAGGCAGAGCCAGCCCTGCCCCAGGAAGAGGGTTTTTATTTTAAGGGAGAAGTGTTGGGGGGCTGGGACATCTCTGCTGCCTTTAGCTGCCACCACGGTGCCCTCCCAGTGCATCCCAGCAGGGACTGGCCAGCACAGACCATGTCTCACCCTCCCTCTGTGAGGGGGACACCAGGACTGGCACCGACAGCAGCCAGGGGGGTGTCCTGCCACCACAGCCTGACCCGAGCTCTGAGCAGAGAGTGGGGGAGGCAGGGTGGGCAGCAGGGTGGGCAGCAGTCTCGGCTGGCAGGCAGGCAGGGGAAGGGGCGTACCGTGAAACTGGGATTGCTGGGCTGGATCCTGAGCTCTGCCAGCACCCAGATGCCGTTGGTGAGCTTCAGGGACTGGTAGAGCATGTCCTGCCCCTCCACGTTCCTCTTGGCAATGGTGAAGATGTTGCTGCCTTGGAGCTTGCTGCTAACGGCATCTGCGTGGGAGGAGAGAAGCTGCTGGGGGCAGGAGAAGGGCTGAACATCCCTTTGCATCTCCTCCTGATCCTATCTCCCCCTCTGCCTGGTGCAGCACATCCAAAACCCCCATCCCCACGCAGGGAGGAGAAGGGCTCTATTAGACCGGGCTCCCCAGGGAGGGCAGGCAACAGCCCAGGGCTTGATTCACCCTCAGAGCCGCCCCGTTTGGCTCCACAAAGCTCAGCTCACTGCTGCCAGCGGGACTGAAAGGACTTGGCTGTCCCCAACCCCGGGTTTGCACGTCCCTCTTGGCAGCAGATCTCCCCAAGGAGGAGCCAGGGGAGAGAGAAGACAGCAGGGAGCCTGGCCCCAGCTCCTGCCCAGGACAGGCCGGGCACTGTCAGGGCTCCATGAACCAGTTCAGCTTCTCTGCACCAAGACTGGTGCCAGGGTGGGCACAGCACATGTCCCCAGAGGCAGGGACATCCCCATCGGGCACAGCATCTCAGAGGCTGCCAAGGTTTGGCAACCAGCGAAGCAGCAGCTCCTTCCTGGAGATGTGTGGTGGGCACTGGGCGAAGGAGCCCCCGCCTCCCTGCAGCCTGGGCTGGGATAACTGGGATGGGCTGGTCACCAGCAGCCAGCCGGGAGCTGAGCAGGGTCCTTCTGAAGGGTTTGGACTCACCTGCGTTGAGAGAACAGTCTTTGATCTGGAACTGGGCTTCGTTCTCGTTGGGAATGTCCTTCCAAGTGGCCAGGAACATCTGCCGCTCTGCAGCGAGGAACAAAACCCACACGGTGATGGAGCTACATCAGCCATTCCCCAAAGGGGGTACAACACAGGGGCCACGCTGCCACGTCACCAGTGGCTGAGGGGATCTCACCCCGCCACGCTGCTATCCCCCCCAGCAGCTTCCCAAGACCAGTCCCACCCAGCCAGAGGAGAGCTGCCCACTTTGAGGAGGTTTGGGAGCTACACCAGCTCAGGGAAGAGGCCGGTGAGTGCCAGAGAAGGCAAAATAAGCAACGAACGAAGCTTTCTCTGGCAGCGAGGAGTTAGAGAAGGTGGCTCAGGCCATCTCAGGTGGCCACAGTGTGGCAGGAAGATTTGAGAGATTTGAGGGGCCGGGATGGCACCTTCAGACCCCCAGGCTCCAACTCACCCATCTTCCCGTCCTCCACGAAGAGGATGTGCAGCGGGTACAGGGTGCTGAAGTAGAAGACGTCGATGTTGTTTTTCACAGCGACCTAGGGCAGAAGGACACGGGGATGTCAACACCTCCTCTGATCTACAGCAGGCAAGTGGTTCCCAAAGCAAGTATCCCATCCCATCCCTCTTGAGCCTGGTGTCATCCATCAGCTGCCAGAATGGAGTTGGAGAGCCCAGCGTGGTCCCAGGCGTGTAGGGGAAATTGGGGAGCTGCACCCCCTTAGCCCTCCCTCCCAGCTCCCCCCTGGAATCTACAGCTCCAGCGTGTCCCCCCAGGCTGGGACACCACGAGCAGATGCTCAGCCACAGCTCAGATGCTGTCAGCGAGGATCTTCCTCCGCAGAGGAGACAGTCTGTGAGAAGCTGGATGTCAGAGCAGAACCAGACTGAGCTCTGACAGCAGAGCAGACGAGGAGCTGAGCGTTTCTTCTCTCCCAGTTCCTGCTGTCCCCCCCCCCCCCAGCCTTCCTCCGCAGAGGAGACAGTCTGTGAGAAGCTGGATGCCAGAGCAGAGCCAGACTGAGCTCCGACAGCAGAGCAGACGAGGAGCGGAGCGTTTCTTCTCTCCCAGCTCCTGCTGTCCCCCCCCCCTCCAGCTCCCTCTTGCCCTGGGGCAGCCCCTGCCCCATCCCCAGCTCCCCAGGAAGTGGGGGAGACCCCCAGCCGCTCCCCACCTGGAGGTTGTTCAAGGGGTCCATCTTCATGACGGAGCCGACGGTGTTCAGTGGAAGGGAGATCTCCACGGACTGGTTGGGGGCGAGAGGCGCGTGGACCTGGAGAGGAGCTGCTGGGGCCAGGCCAAAGCTGGGGGTGGGGGGTGACATCCAAACAGGGCAGGGGGTCAAGCGTTGGGGTCAGCAGATGATGGCAGAAGGCACTACCCACCTGTTCCAGGCCAACCAGGGGACTCCCTACCTTCCTCCATCCCAGCCCCAGCAACACCCCAGGTCACCTGCCTGCCCCAACATAGTCCAGGACCAGGCTGGCTCCTGCCCTGCCCACCCTGGGGCAATAACAGCCCCAAAAATCTCACCCCTTCCTCCTACACCCATGTTTAATGCTCCTGCACTATTTCCTCAGGGTCACCCCTTGTTTCCCTTTGAGGGGAAAAAGAGGGATGGGTTCACCAGGAGGACAAATAAGAGGGTCAGACGCCAGAGGAACAGCCTCTTCAGTCAACTTCTTAGAGGCTTTGGTTTGATGATCATCACCACCACGGCCATCAGAGAGAGAAGGGTCATCACGTGAGGCTGTTCCCAGCCCTTCCTCCCACAACCACTCCAGGGCTGAGCTCGGAGGTGTTGCCCATCATCTTCACCAACACAGCCCCAGGAGGGACCTCACCTGTTGCGGTTGAACTGGATGGCAAAGTCAGACATGACCTGCAGAGCCTTGTTCGTTAGCACAAGGTCCATGGAGATGGAGCCCACCTGCCGGCTGAAGGTGCCAGAGATCTCCAGCCCCTTGGCCTTCATGGCAGGGAGCCAGACCTGGGTTAAAGAGACAAGGAACCCTTGGGGTTTGGACCCAAATCGAACTCTTCGGTGCTCTCCAGCCCGGCAGAGTCACGCAGGGTGTTTGTAAACCAGAAGCATTTCATGGCTACCATCACAAAGTCACCTTCACCCCAGCTAGGGTTGTGGGACGCTGCGGCTGAGTCCTCCAAACCTCATCCCACACACTGGGAACCCCCCAAAATTAAGAGACATGAACTTCCAGACCCCTGCTCTCCCCTCTGCCTAGGGCTCTGGGCCACCTTGGGGAACGTGGCACTCTGTCCTGCACCCGGGCAAGCACCGTAATGCCCTCTCCATCTGCAGGCCACCACCCTCCCCCATCTTGCTACCACGCTAGGAAGATGCAGAGTGTCTTCCACCTCCCCCCGAGGAGACCCCACAGTGTGGAGCGGGCACAGGAGGCTCTTTGTCCCCCTTTAATGCCACAGGAGGCTCTTTGTCCCCCTTTAATGCCACAGCAGCCGGTGGCTGGGGGTCAGCTGTCCCACTCACCGTTTTGGGTGCCACGTAGGATCCTGACAGGGTCCCCACCCCACCGGTGAGGTCAAAGAGGTCTCCCAAGCCACTGCCCAGGGGTGCCCCCATGTTTGCTGGCATCGTGGTGCTGGGTGCTGGTGTGAAGCCGCCGCCGCTGCCGCCACCACCCATCTGTGGGGGGACAAGGGAATGGGTTATGGGGGGCATCACGGGGTCAGAGAGAAGAGGAGGAGGAAGAGGAGGATGCAGAGGGCACACTCACAGCAGGGCTGCCTCCCACATCACTTCGCAGCTGCAAGAGAAGAAAGGGGCATCAGCAGGGACAGAGGCCAGCGCACCGAGGGCACAGGGGGCCCACAAAGAGCCCCATCAAGGGCTCTCTAAAAGCATCAGCGTGGGTTAGAGAGGGCCCAGAGCCCGTAGGGATGCTCCAGTGGTCCCAAACTGGGGCCTGGCTGTCCCCAGAGGGAAGCCAGGTGTCACCGGGGCACCAAAAAGGAAGGCTGAGGCTGTGTGGGGGGAGCAGGGGGTGGGCACAGGCGCTGGGGTTACACACGTGGACTAGAGGGTTAAGAAAAGGGTTGGTCCATACCCCTTCCGACTCGTCCCCCATCTCCCAGCAGAAGCAGCGAGGCGGAGAGAAGAGCCAGCCACATGCAGAGAGAAGCCAGGAGAGAGAGAGAGAGAGACAAAAACCAGAGAGACAAGAGAAGGGGAGGAGGGAAGAGTGGTTAGTCCCGCCACGCTGCCCACCCATCCGTCTGTCTGTCTGTCTGTGGCTGCCCTGGGGCCAGGGGACACAGTGTCACCGGGTTCTCTCGTCCCCACACTCGTTGCCAGCCCCATTATCAAACCCTGGACACACAGCAAAGAGCCAGGGTGGCACCTGGATGACAAACCAGAAGAGGCAGCAGGCAAGGAGACAGCGACGCTGCTTCTCCTCAGGGAGTATCTGCTGGATTTTATGAGTAGTGGAGAAAACTCCAGGCTTTTCCTTTGGGGGGAAGGGGGCTGTGGGGCAGGCGGTCCCCACCAGGGACATTCCCAGCCCTTCTTTCCCTGCAGCCAAACCGCTTCCCCGTTTGCATTCCCAGGAGGACAAGGTGTCACCTCCAGCTCTCCCAGCACAGGAGACACACATCAAAGCACCCCACGGGCCAGGAGCTGGCACGTCTCAGCCCAGCCCCACAGCAGCTTGGGGGACATCCCCATTTCACACAGCTGTGGGGGTCAGAGGGGGACCCAAGAAGAGCAGCCACCCCTGTAGCACGGCATGGACAGTGGGGATGTCTACACAGACCTCATGTACCAAGAGAAAAAGGCACTCAGGAGCACTAACTGCCCTGCTCCAGCCATCCAACGACGACGAGATAAATTAGGGTGCAGTGCCCCTCCATCTTCACCAGCCGTAGAAGGAAAGGACTAGCCCAGGGGACTCTGGACAACAAGCCCATCCCATCCCCAGGAGCTCCAGCATCAAACCCAGCACGATGGGGAAGGACCACAGGGGGCTGTGACATACCAGGCTGTCCAAGCCACCCCCGAGGAGGTCCACGGCGCCCATCTGCACGGAGGAGGTGGCGATGGGAGGCCCGCTCACCGGGGGACCCAGGTCCAGGTTCAGCAGGTCACCCAGCAGGTCGCCCTGAGTGGGGATGACGGCCGGCTGCTCCGCTGCCTGCACCCCTGAGGGGGCTGCATCCGGGCTCTCGGCGCTCTCGCTCCTGGAGGGAATGGCAAGGGAAAGACATGAGATCCTGAGGAGCTCCAGCTGAGCTGAGAGGTCGCACTGGAGACACCAGTTCACCCAACTGGGCCTTTCAGCAAGCGGTCAAAGAGACACCCCATCCCAGCACGGCTCCCAAAACTCATGGGAATCCCCTTCCATTTGGGTCTGAGATCACCCCTTCAGCCTTTAAGGGCAGTGTTGAATCCATACTGTTGAAAAATAGTGTGACCAGCAGAAGTAGGGAGGTGATTGTGCCCCTGTACTCAGCACTGGGGAGGCCACACCTCGAGTGTTGTGTCCAGTTTTGGGCACCTCAAT